TTTCCAAAGACGTTCTGGTTGAGTTGTGATTACACTTGTTTCCGGGATACTTTTATTTTCATCTGGTGTTAGTTTATTGAATTCTTTCTTGTCAAGAAACGAGTTCGCCATATCTATTAAACTGCCTCTTCGCTCCATTTTCTTTCTTACATTACTTTTCCCCGAACTAGTACTAGTATTACTAGAGGCAGATGTTGGTAAAGAATTTTGCTCTGTCACAACTCCATCACGATGCAAAATTCGTACTAAATCTAAATTGTCAACAAAATATATTCTATGGTCGTTATCAGCACTCATTCTAAACAATAACTGCAATAAAGTAAGTCGACAAATTATAGGATATGTTGTAATGTCACCAAGAATTTTAATAATTTCCGTGAAAACTTCGATGCATTCATCCAAGAAGCCAGCTTTGTACAAACAGTGCTGAAATATGTTAATAAGACCTTCGGTAGAGGAGACACATTTACAAATTGATGAATGCGTGGATCGTGGTTTAGCATCTGATTGTTCATAAGTACAAATGCAACGACAACATTGTATTAGGATCTTTAGCAAAGCAGAGAACCAGCGACTTGGAGCTTCTTTGAGAATAATAATTAAGAACTCCATAGAAGAATTAGATAAATTACGATCACTCTCTTCAGGTAAATCGGTCAACATAGGAATTATAACAGCTTCTAATAGCTTATCTTGATAGATATCTTTTGTAACCTCATATACATCCATCGTCATTGTAAAGATTTTTTGGCGAACCTTAGATAACGATCTCTTAATATAGAATGTATTAACCACATCAACTAACATAACTAGCCAATCAGGTGAAGATGGATACAAAGTGTGTTCTGCATCATAATAGTCAAGTAGCATAATGATAGTATTTTCGGAAATATGATCCCTAAGGTTTTGAATGAGACTTATAAAACGCGAGGTAGATCCAACAAATGAAGAAGATGTGTGTAAAGTCTGGATTTGAAGTATTAATTTACTATAGGCCATTATAACAGCTAAGTCATTGGATCGATCCAAATCAATATCTATAGCATCATCTAATACAAAATTACCCTTTTCTTTCAAAGCTTTATTCTCTAGAAAATGATATCGAGTACTATTTAAGATATCTAATATTATATCCCATTCCAATAAAGCAATGTTTTTTTCATATTTTGTGACAAGTTCACTAATCTGAGACAAAATTTCAAAATGAACTATAGGATCTCGATAAGATTTTGTTGATTGATTCATTGCTGAAAGGGCAGCAGAATAAGTATGTAAAAGAGATTCGACCCTTTCAGAACCCCATAATGCGTTTCCTAAAAACCATACAGATCCTCGTAAAATATTTGTTGATTCAACGGTTACTATTTCAGCATTTAAATTATCACATAATATTTTGATAGTACCATAATCGCAATGGCTTCTTAATAAGTTACGCATTATATGCCAACTTGTTTGTGAAATCGAACCATCATGATTAACTTTATCGCATAGAACATTTACATATGATTTCAATGAAGACGAAGGTACATAACCATATCGTACTACTATATCCCAAAAATTGAGACAACATTCTATATCCAAGATATCTTTTGATTTCCTACAAGCGATGGCAATATCTTCAACAAGTCGAGAAATGTCATGTTCCTCAAATTGAGCAAAATTAAATTTGACTACATTAATCAATAGACTAACTACTGATTGCAACCTTGTCGTAAAGGTTGGTTGTGAAGATATATCAGAATCTAATGATTCACCGATTAGTTCATTATTTAAAAAAGGAGCCATAACGATTGTCAGTCCTTCTTGTTGTTGAACCGTCGAACTTTGAGTGTCCAATTGTTGTACAGTTTCGTTAACCCATTCAGAAAGTAATTTTACCAAATTTTTTTCAAAGGAAGAAATATTTCTTCCATCATGACATAGTTCCCTCAATGCCATTAATCTAATTTCAAAATCTTGAACATTATTATGAGATTTTATACAATCATAAAAAATTGTTCTAAGAAAACCTAAATTATCGGTATGTTGTCCTTTTATGCAAGAAATCATAAATTGAAATACAACAGTTCTTGCTTCTGCCTTATCCGACGTTAATAGATCACTAACACAAACCCATACTTCGGTCATATCAGAAAAAGTGTATTTTGTGACAATATCACATAGTTCTCTAATAAGTTTAATACGGGTTTCTATAGGGATAGGTTTTTGCAATTCTTGTACCAACAGTTTTGTATCTATCGGACGACTTTTTGAGGGATCGTATTGCGGACGATCATCAGTGCTTTCCGAAACTGTTGGAGGAGTTAAACCTAATATATCTTCCCAGGAAGAAGAAAATTCAGACCGTTTTATTATTCCGCGAAGAGAGAAGCCAGAAGAAGCACGCTTTGACTTTGCATCCTGTGCCATTATTAGAAATATGAACGGAGACAAATACCCCTATAAATATTTTATGGGCTGAATATCGATCCCGTGATTTTATGACCCATGAAATTTACTTATTTCAATTTCGAGTACGTATTCTTTTTTCTTTACGTTAACGATAACGATAACGGAAAAATATGTTAACGCTATCGCAATGTAAAAATTTTCGACTACGTACAGAATTATAATTATATACAAAAAGTATACGTATAGATATCGACATATATGTATAGCGATACGTAATTGTTTAGGGTGTCAAATGCAGGTGCATAGTGAAAATCATGGATCGAATTTTTTTATAATTAAAATTTTTAAGATCTGCACGCAATAGTAAAGACCATAGGGAAGTTGCCATCTTTCGCCTTTAATTCCTTCCGTAATATTTATTCTTTTTTAATTCTATAAACACAAAATATTTAATTAAAGGTGTCTTTACACAGTGACAACGTCAGAATTTTAATTTTCTAATTAATTAGTCTCTTTTTCATGGGTACGTACATACGAAAAATTGCTATAAATTTTAGTCATATGATAGATTTCGAATGCAGATCTAACGTATCGGTATCTTTTATATGTAGCAATAGTAATTAACTAAATCTATAAATTTATTCTAATAGAGAGCAATTAGATTGCTAGCTTTGATCGAATAAACATTGCTAAATATAATGAAGTATATTAAAAAAGGCATTTACTGATTTTATAAGTAATATTATTAATATTCGTTTAATATTCAAAAATTTTTATAATTTAAAATTGAAGAACTATTTATTCTTGTGTAGTAAAGCTTATTAGATTTGTAGTTTTTTTGTTACGTCGCCAGGTAAGAAAACTACCAAGAATTTCATATGCTTTTTCTTCCTTAGAAATCCCATTACTTCCTAATTGTTTAGTAACTTTAGAGCTATTGGTGTCTTGCCGAATGTTTTGCAGCATTTCTTGAGAGATCTCTTGAAGTCCACCATCCAAACCCGAAAGTTGAATTCATGATTCCTGTAGTTGGGCATTCATATTTGGGTGGACTTTCATGTCGTAACGATTAAACAATCCTTCTAACTGCTGCTGGTGCACTACAATGCTCCATATGCAAAATTTAATAAACTCATATATGAGGGGAAACTTTACTGGCTCTGATATATCAGAATCGGCAAATTTTTCAAATTCTTCAAAAAAGTCCCGCTGTTCTAATGCTTCTAATAATCCAAACGTATTTGAATATTCATTTAATAGGTCTTCTCTTAAAAGTTTAATGTAAGAAATCTCTTTTAAAGTTGAAACTCTTGAAGAATTTTTATTAAAAAATACAGTTAGAAAAGTGCGAGCAAATTCGGGTCCATTTACACCACCTAATTGGCAAACGCAAAGAGGTAAATGAATCCAGGTTTCCATCCATTTAGTAAATCCATTTAATGCACTTTCTATGCCAGCACATAATAATACACGAAAATTTTCAAATTCTTCAGCATTCAACTTACGTTCAGCGTCATTTAATTCATCGCCAAATAATTGATGAATATTTTCTAAACAATACTGAAGCTTTTGAATCCATAGCATTATTTTATCTGGCATTTCGTGTGCACGATTACCTGGAGGAAGAGTATCTACATTATTCGGTTGGAGAATTTGCGAAATTGGATCATATCCGGTTAGAAAATTATAAACAGGCTCATAAAATTCTTGACCAAATTTAACAAGACATCGTATTTGAAGATTAAGTTGCTTATCCATAAGCCACTTAAGAAATATTTGCCATTTATTTAAATATGATTTCGGGACATCTTTGGTGTTTTCAAGTTGTTCAACGAAGAAATGTGCAAAGCGGATATGAACTTCACGTCGATCAAGGTATTGTTTGGCAGTTTTAAGTTCATATAGCCACTGTTGACGAATAGGCTGTTGATATTGACACATTTCAAAATCAAACAAAATTTTGTAGAGTTTTTTTAACATTTCAGATTTTAGATTTAACAGACTATCTTTATCTAAAAGATTATATCCGTCATGAAGGTAAAAGGCAAGATTAAGTAGATTATATGGATGCTCCTTTAATGACAATCCTTTGACAGTATCTAACTTTCCAAATGCCTTATTTTCGAAATTTGTTAGGGTGATATGGGTTGCATGCAACCCACAAGGAATTTGAAATGATTTAGATGCCGCTAATGAGTTGAATTTAGCAATTGCACCGTTAGCCTTTGAAGACATATAAGCCATATTATCTGTTAGCCAAAAATGACATTTTTGGGGGTCAATTTTTTTTTGTTGACATGCTTCAAATACTTCAGTTGAAATAGTTTCAGCATTACAATGGATCAGGTCTTTTACTTTTAATACAGTAATTACAGGCTTTTCTTTAATATGATTCCAATATGAAAGGCAAATAATTAACACTTTTATTTCTTCACGTGTGCTTTCATCGGCCATAATTTCATAGCCAAAAAACCTAGACACGTCGATAGGATGGTTTTGGGTGAAGGATAAGGCTGCTATTTCGTTATTTCATCGTGCTAAGGTAGATGCCGCTACCCAATGCTTCGGCATCTCTTCAGTTAAGAATTGATAAATGGCTTTGGTGCATTCTACCATTGCACATATTGAGGTTTATCCTATAGTGCTAATATAAGTAGCTAATTTTACAAATCTTGTATTGTATTCATTTTTATTAATTCTAAATAATTTATTGACTTCTTGTTGAAATTGAGCAGGACGAATCTTAGTTGCTTTACGAATAGAAGCCCAAATTTTTGAAATTTTGGTTTTCTTAAATTGTTTAGCTCTTGCTACTTTTACAGAAAGTGAACGAAAAGACTTATGTCTTTTTTTTAAACACCGATTCTCTCATTTTAAATTATTATTTTTTAATTTTAATGCACTAATAGTATAATCGTGCTTATAAAAACCAATGTTTATAAACTCACATGCCTTTTTTTGTAAATAGGTTGAAAATATTTCTCTTTACGCTCTCCTTGAGAATAAGTCATCGTTTGAAGAAGTTCAGATGCGTTGACAATTTGGTGATCAGGTAAATTTAAGAGATATATAAGCATATCGTTGCGTTTTATTTGATTACAAGTGTTCATTTTTCGCGATTCGATTATATTTTTTATAATATAGCTGAAATCGTCATCATCTAATTTTTCGAAAATTAAAATTAGGTGATCAAGTAATTCATTTCGTTGTTCATATTTTTGATTACTTCTACAGTTTTTTAGTTGCTTATTTCGTGAATTTAGCCGACCCATTAAAATAACACTTTGTGATGCAGTCTTGTTATATTGGGGATTAAGAATTAAAAAAGTTTATGCTTAGACTAAAAGATTTGAATTTAATAGTTAAGTTAGTCAATCGAGGGTTACAAGAATAGTTTTATTTAGATATATTCTTTTGCCAGATGAATACAATTAATTCTCTATCGCAACGAACTTATGTCTTTTTAAATATTTTGTAACTGATTGAAATCAAATAATTAGAATCAAGAAATCACAATCATCAGATCAATGTTTTATCTTAAAAAGATGAGAATAATACGAATCGATGCAGAAAACTAGTTATTGCTTGCTTGATTTTGCCGTAGCATGCTTTTTATTAATTATATACGCAATGTGTATTTCTGTTCAATAAAATTGCTTATTATTACATATAATTCTATTATAGTATTATGAATAAAACACAAATTGACTTTCTTTGAATAAAGATTCAATAATGTGACTTTTTAAATATTAATGATATTTTATTAAAATCACTTATTATTACATGTAATTCTACTATTAATTAAAATGCAAATTGTCTTTCTTCAAATATACAATAATGAGACTTTTTTAAATATTAATGATATTTTATTAAAATTGCTATTCTATATTCGATTTACTGTATATTAAAACCTTTAAACTTATTTATATCAAATAAATTGGTCAATTACTTTAATCAGCGATAGTTTCTTGGATCGTATTATAAAAATTAAGCGGTGTAATTTTAATCAGGTATAATAGAATCTAAGAATGTACTTTGATTCTTGATAGTCCTTCGGATTGTATTATAAAAACTCTAGTGCGAAACTTAATTTGAACAAATAAGCAATTATTCTAGCATTTTTGGAAAAAAGTGTAGCGAATGAAATCTCAAATCGTTCTTTTTAATGGCTCTTAATTGTAAGTACTGTTTATTGAAAATATGGCAATTCACTATTATAGTAATTCAAGAACTTCTATAGTGATTTTAAGTTAAAGGTTTTTCTTTATTTATATCTTAATGCGAGACATTAATCTTAAATAAATAATCATATATACAAATTTGGAAAGAATACGGTAATAATTTCTAACGCGGTACAAAAAATCTTTCTGCATTAATAACCCTCTAAATGGTTGTGTATTGATGTTAATAACATAACGCAGAAAATTCTTCAATAAATATTCTAAATAGACCTATATAATTTCCATATTCGTACCAACAAGATTAAAAAATATAATACCAATACACCCCAAAATGGTAAGTAGCATTAGTAACAAAACTAATCTCAAAATTCGAATAACAAGAACTTTAACAAACCCTTCTATAGTCTTAAACATGTTGAGTTAGATGAAATGAGAAAACTGATTAATTCTCTTTTACGGAATTCTTGTTTGATATGAACCTATTATTAACTATAATTAAATAATTAAAATTTTTTAAAATAATTAAAAATTCTTCAAGTCCGAATCTTGCAATTGCAGATATTATTGTAATAATATCTGCAATATTAAACCTTAATTGCATGATTTAAAATAGGATTGGATCCAGAACAGCTGTATTATAATAAATTACCTAGATAACTCGGGCAATTGGATAATACTGAGTAAGAATTTTTTCAGAGGGTCCAATCCTTATTTTTAAAATCGTGAAAATATATATATAGGTAAATTATTTTCTTTCACTTTCATTAATTTACCTATATCCAATATCACGTTCAGAATCTTAATAATGTCGACATTACCTTACCTAATTACGATTCTTCAGAAGAATCCTCCTATGAAAATGAAAAGCATATTGATAATTCCAAAGGAAAACGATTAAAAACCGAAAGCTTGAATCAGTTCATAAATACCTCGATGAGCTCAATGATGAACTCGAAGCTTCCAAGTTCTGCAAGCGATG